TTGCTGTCTTTAAAGTACAGAGACACTCCTTCCATCCAGGGAGTGGCTGGAAATGCTGCCATCCTTCAGGCTTGTCTTCACTGGGAAGATTGTGAAACCTCTTTCCTCAGCTGCCCACCATCTCCCAGTGTGTTTCACAAACTCAGCTCTGCAAGGGCTTCCTCCACCTGCACAAGAGCCCCTCGCTTCTCCCACAGGAGCTCGGGCCATCACCAGCTTTTGTCTCTCCATCTCCCTTTGCCAGTGGTTCCCTCCCAATGTTCAGTATCTGACTCTGCCATCATACTGGTTGTTCTGGTTGTTAGGGGAGCCAGGATCATCTTCTGTGAGGGGGGATTATAGAGGCAAGGGAGGTTAGAGAGCACAGGAGCCCAGCTTGCAGAGCCACCAAAGGCAGGGTTGCATGGCAGGAGGATGGAGGGAAATGCTGGGGCAGTCCTGGAGATTTTGACATGGCAGAAATTCAGGAGCCCTCAGTGACCAGCTTTGTGGAAAGCTAAAGCCAGAGCGTCACACTGTGAAGGACAGCAGCACAGAGGTCAGTAATAACCAGATGTCAACAAAATGAGGCACTGTTAATACTCCTAGAGGGGATTTCCACTTCAAGCAAGGTAGTGCATTCAACATTTGCCCTGAAAGAGATGTAAGAAGGTCTGAGAATGAGCCTCAGGAACATTGTTCCCTTCAGCCCTTAGAAAACCTGCCTAATGTTCCAAAAAGCCATCCTAATCCTGTCAGCAGAAATGCCTGAGAGGCAGCAAACCAGCTCTTCCCAGTGCAGCAGAAGCAGAAGTAACACTGCAATGCACAGAATAATTCTGGTTTGACCTAAACTTCTGTTCTTTTACATGTAAGTCATATTCTGCTCCATATTTCTAAACTGCAAATGCTCTTCAAAGACAGTGATGGTTTTACCCAGCACAACACAGACTGGTGAGCAGGTCTCAGTCCATGTCAGCTGGCATGGCTCCACCAGCTAGGCACCAGCCCTGTCAATTTGGATGCCAACACATCGATTTAAGCTGCTGTCATGCTTACAGTCTATGTAATTAATGCAGATGGAGAAATTAATGTCTCTTCTGAGACTGACCATAGCCATTGTATGAGTCTGTCAGAGAGGGGGTTGCTGTGAACAGAGAGGTGCCAAGCAGACACACACCAGCTGTCCTGGACATACAGGTTGCATTTAATGAAGTGTGTGGAAAGTTAGTAACTTCACCAGTTACCAAAAGGGTAGCAGTCCTTTCTATGTCAGTATTGGTTTAAAAAATGCAGTGAGATGTCACTGCAACATGGTAATTGATCTCCCTAAATTGACAATTATCGCTCCTGAATCTGGGAGAACCAGGGATGTCTCCCAGCCCATACTGTCCATACCAGCAAGATATGTTACAGCAATTCTGATAATCAAGGTAACAAAACCTTCAGTCCCTTTTACCCCCTCCTGCCCAAGCCATTTATACTGGCAGCTGGTTCCATCCCCTCAGAGAGAAACCTGTGGTAGGGAAAAGCTCAGGGAAGGGATAGTCCTAAATAAATCCCCACTGCTTCAGTCTTTGAAAGGACAGTAGAAGGAGAGTGAGATGAACCTTGGGGGGCTGGGAGGTCTCAGCTTCCCCAAGGTGAAATACCAGTAATATGCCTGGCTGGAGTCAGCACTGCAGAGCTTCATTTATTTCAGTTTTAGATGCTTGGCTTTTTGCCTTCATCTGAACCTAACAACCAGAGCATGAAATGCTCACTTTCACATTCAGCACAAAGCCCAGTCTTCACTTTATATCCATTTTTCTTCCCTCCACTATTTCTTGATACAGACAAGAAATCAGGGCCAGCAAAGGGGTTAAAAATCAAAGGCAGGACCTACAGATTCCAACAAATTTGACAAACTCCTTTTCCCTCTCTTTTCTCCCTCTGCCAAGGGTTTTTCCTGTCACACTACACTTCCAGCCTTCTTGGAGTCCACGAGTAGTGTTCATCTGCCACAGTGATGGGCTCAGACTCTTGGAGGCACAGTCACAACATCTATAAACAATAAAATTCCTAGCTGCTATAATCATGTTGTCAGCAATGAGTAATATGTTCTGCAAAAAATGCCTGAGGAAGCTGCTGGAGTGTGCTGAAGGTGGCTATAAACTATCCTGCTAAGAACAGTTTCTTGACAGTTGGTCAAAATTTCAACCAAAGAGTTACTGAAATATTAATCACAATTTTCTTTGCCTTCTTAAATTATGTTAGTCATGTTAAAATAGCCATACTGTTAGGATGTATTGTGAGGGCAGAATTCAAGCTCTCCTCTCCAACACACACTCCCCGCACACCAGGGTTCCTGTCAGCATTTTGACAAGCTCATGTCAAGAAATTATGTGCCCCGACTAAAAATTAGTTATTTAAGAGAGCTACTAAAAAATTGGGATCTCTCTCTTTAAATGTTTGACCCTGAGGCAGAAGAGGAGGTGGGGAGAGAGAGAAGGAGAGAGAAAACGATAATCGCTTTAGATAACAACCTGAGTCATGGTAATAGCAGCCTAATTGCTATCCAAGTGCTTTCAGCAGGAAACAGGCACACCTAGAGAGGCACCTGTGCAGAGCAAGATTGGGTTTAAATGGAAGGACAGAGAAATAAATGCACTTTCATCTGAGTGTAGTGGAAAGGAAGAAATAGTTGTTTATGTAGAAACTGCCTGAAATCTAAGATCTGCTTCAGACAATGGCACGTGGCTGGTATGTAATTCATGTGAGAAACAGGCACACTACAGGGCTCAAAGTGAAATGGGTATTTATATTTAGGCAGAGAAAAGAAAATAACCGTATGTGGGGAAGAAGTGGATGATGCTGTCTTTCCAGAATAAATCAGCTTCTGCAATGATTATGACCTTTTTATAAAATAAAGTTAGTAATGTCAGTCTGACAATACAAAATAAGATCTTTCCTTGAAAGTCAGTATCTGCAATAAAGTATTTGCTTGGAATAAAGCTGCCTGAGAATGGAATAGTTTGTAGTTGATTGATAAATATCAAACATGCCCTTCATATCCATGATTGTGCTTTTGTACATTGAAGAGTTGTTCTTCTCCACTGCTGCTCTCTGAGCACTGCCCCTGGCTCTGGCTGCAGTCTCTGCAGCAGCTGTGGGAGGTTTCCACCCAGGTTTGGGCAGAGCCCTTGGCCCCCGTTCTCCAGCTGCCCTCCCTCTTTGGTAATTCGGTTCTGAGAAAGAGGACATGGTCACCAGGTGCTGCCCACGTGTCTGGGGGGAAATGAAGGCTGGGATTTCTGAGTAAGAGGCAATAAAATGTTGTTCTGTTTGCTCAGGATGAGGTCTGTGGTGTGAGCTGAGTGCAAGAATCGATTGTGTGTCCTCTGATGAAGGAGTCAGATCTTTCAGCAAAGGTATTGATTTACACATTCAACTCTGCAAGTCGCTTTCCACTACATCTTTTGCAACTAAAACTCAGTGATGAGAATGTCAATAGGCATGAACAAAAGCCTTGTATTTTGAAAAGCCTGAATCTGTATCTGTAGGATATAAAAGCTGTTACATTTCTGTGCTTTTGCTCTCCTCTGGAAGTCATTTTTCCAGGTTGTTGGTATGGATGTTGCATGCAGAAGGTATGCGTGTGCCTATGCATTACCATGGTTGTTATTTTCCTCTAAAAATAGCCTTTTTTATTATTATTTGTAAATAGCATTTGATCACAGTCTAGAAATATTGCATGACAGAAATTATCTGTCTTGAATTGCTGAATAATAGTATTTGGGTAGGCTGTTATGGCAACAGAGGTATACCCTCTGGATTTAAGCATCACAGGTTCTCATGGCAACTTTTTTTTTTTTTTTAATACCTGCACATGCAGGAAAATATGCTGGGCTATCCCAGTAATCTCTGGAAAACAGCAGCAACAAAATAAACTGACATGTTTATCACCTTACATTTGTTTTTGAAATATACATAAAAAAACTGCCTTAAATAAAATACATAAATAAATCAGAGGAAAAAAGCACACAAAGGCCAAAACAACACTGTGGAATCAATAACATGAAATAATTTTATGAATATCTAGTATAAATTAGTATTTATGTTATACTGATATTCAGAACTTTGACCAGTGATGGATTGGCATTGTCAATATACATTATGAACACTCAGGGCAGGTAACAACCCTTGCCATGAGGCAGCTCTGGTTATTGTTTATTTCTTCTTTGTTAAGACTTGCTGAAATTTTACAAAAGAGGACCTTTGATTAAAAATACATCAAGTTCAAATGACCTTGACCTGTGATACAACAATCCTAACAAAAGAAGTGTTCAGTCACGGTGTCAAATGCTCCATTTCAGCTTTTCTTCTGCATACCAGGGCACTGTTCACATTAATCCAATGGGCTTTGGACTAGCCCTTTTCCTTCAACGTGCAATTCTCATAACAAAGATAAATTTTCCTTCCTCTTCTCCCTTTATTACTACTGCTGTCCCCACATGACCCCTCCACTGTGTCAGGTGTGTAAGTACCTGGCAAAGGTGGTGTCTGTCTGTGATCACAGTCCCCAGTGCTCATTGTGAGGGTTCAAGTCAGTGCAAAGCACACAGGTTTACACACACACTCCGGAGGATCCTGTCTGTTTGGAAACAGACCTTGGCTTCACAAAAAGGGGTGGTAGCTCTTGAACAGGAAGACACCAATTAAATAATTAGGGTTAGCATAGAAAGAGCTGTTAAGTGTCTATCCCTTAATATCTTTAAGAACAAGTTATAAAACCTTCTGTGAGGGATGTCCTCAAGTAAAGCCCTTAAGGGCGGGGAGGTGAACTGGACGGCATCCTAAATTCTTTATTTCTGTGGCTGTGCCATCACTGTGCTTGCTTGTCCTCACATGAGTGTGAGCCTGCACAAGCACAGACCCAGAGTAGGATGGCAGATGGCACAGAGAGGAAATTTGAAATGATGCAAGTATGTGGGGCAGAAAACAAAATACCTGAGCACCTGGGAGAGTTTCATATGCTCTTAGTCATTTTTTCTGTGAAACTTTTTTAATGTCTGAGGTTCATTAAAAAAAACTTTAAAAAAAATATAACTTACTGGTCCACAATAGGAGCTGTGCAGCACAGAAGTACAGGTAGTTTTACTTAATATGTACTGGAAGTTTTATTTAAGTGGTGGGTGGTAAGGGCATTTTTATTAAGCAGAAAGTATCTTAAACTAAAAACCGACTTTGAAGAACATAAACACTTTCTAACATTCAAACACTAAGCATTAATGTGACTATATTGGGAAATATGCAGAGTAGGTGTGCTCATTTCTGAGGAAATTTTCCCACTGGCTATTTGTAAGAAGCGGCTAATGACAATGTCTTTGGCCTTGACAGTCTCCATGTTCCTCTCCCGTGATATCTGCATGCTGATTTGATCCACATTGGTCATGATTAGCTCCGAGGCCAGGATCTGGGTGGGGGATGCCCTGTTTGCTGTGCTGTCCATGATGTACTGCTTGTACAGCTCCAGCAGCTTCTGCTCCAGGTAGTCGTTGAGGGCAGAGTCGGAGAGGGGCTGCTGGTGGGGCCCGAGGCTGGCCAGCCGCCAGCAGGACGAGTGGCCCTGGCCCGGCCTGCGCGTGGTGTCACTCGTGGGGGGAGCCTTCACAGACTCCATGGCGGGAGGAATCTCTGAGGACTCCAAGAAGGGGCCTATGCCGCTGTCACAAGCGAAATCTGTGGTGACCGAGCTAATCGGCACCACGTAGTCCCCAGCTATATGCAGGTCGTTGTAGTTCTTGCAAATGCTCTTGCAGGAAGGTGGAACCAGGTAGGTGACCTTTTTTGTCAGCTCCTCACAGACATGCGTAGCTGGAGGTGGCTGCCCTGTGGGTGTTGGGTGCTGGACAGGTTGTGGGAGATTATCCTTCTGCCTTCTGCTGTGCTTGCTGCCTCGGGAGCAGACTGAGGAAATGCACTTGCCAGCAGATCTGCATCTCTGAAGGAGGCTTTTTCTTTGTGCTTCTCCTGTGGAAGAATAATTAATGGAGCTCATTTCATACACCCCTTCATCAGGCAAACTCTCGTAGAGCGCAGGGTTCAGGTCTTCCCAAAGGTAGGTGATTCTATGCAGGTAACCTTCCGACAGCATCCTTCTCCAAGGGAAAGGAACCACCAGCAGACACAAAAATGATAAAAAGAAGTTAATAACAAAAAGTTCATTTTAAACTGCCTGAGCTGTAATTACCCTCGCCAGTCTCTTACTAGCTGCAGAGATGTCTCCAATTTGGGGATGAACAGGAGTGTCTCTGCCTTACTGGGCACTTGAGCCAGTGAGTGAAGTGATCAGCCAGTGTCCCTGTTGTGCTGAACCTCACCAAAGCATATCCTGTATAACACAATGAATTGCACATCCAATGCATCCAAGTGAGTTGTGGAGAGAGGGACAAGGAGTCTTTTGTTGTGGAATAGCTGCTGTAATAGCTTACCCTAAAATGCATCTAATTTTGCCCTGGAATTCATTAAGAAGCCAGGGGTTTCCCCCTTTTTCTTACATGCTTTTAAGAAGACAGGGGTTTCCCCCCTTTCTCTCATATGATTTGAAGCATCTTTTGTTGTGTGTGGTGTGTCAGCTGCCTCTGAACTTTGATGATTTGAGATTCATACTGAGAGTATCACCCCTTCTGTTCCAGACTAATCAACAGCTGCTGGTGTGGTTCCTTTTTCATTAAAAAATCTCAGACCATTAAATTTGCACTTTGCACTTCTGCATTGCAATCAAGATGGAATTAATTGTCTCTACCTTTTATACATGAAAATGTCAGTGGAAAAAGCAAAATGTTTTGGAGGCATGATTCATCTGGCCTGGTTTAGACACCTAAATCAAAACGAAATTAATTGTATCCTAGATTTGCTTATCACTCTCCAGTTGCTATAAAAGGAAGTTAAACTAGATCCTAGACATAGATATCTGCAGGGTACTTTTGAGGAGACAGATTTCAATGCAATGCATAGGAGAGTGCACATTTCAGAAGCACTCCAGCTCGCTCTTTCACTGTGGGATTAGCCATACCACAGCTCTGGAATCAGTCTTCATTGCATTTCTGCAAAGGCACAGTCAGGTTCCAGCAGTCACTAACTATCTCCACTCTCTGAGCAGGCAGCTCAGACCCAAAAGCTGCACAGAAATGTTAGTAATTAAAGAACAGGATTTGCCAGCAAGGACACACATGCTGCACATCAGTAAATGTTCTGCCCAAGCTTTGGCAGCTCCACTACAAAAAAAAAAATGTTTTAAATCCACCGCTGCACATCAGTAAATGTTCTGCCCAAGCTTTGGCAGCCCCCCTAAAAAAAAAAAAAAAAAAGTTTTAAATCCACCTCTGTCATTTTTTTCTTTTTTTAACAAATGTCAATGATACAAGCAATGGGAAAGATGTTCTAAAGAAATTGTTTGGTCCAGCAAAGAGAAAGTAGATTTAAAGAAAAAATAAATTAAAATGAAAATTATTAAAATAATTTCTTTCTTTATATACTACAAATGGTCTCTTCCAAGAGCGAAGGGACTCTCATTTCTTAGTAGTAAAGTTTTCTTGTGTCACAGTTGCTAATGAAAAATACTGCACTAATAATTGTTGGCTAAATCCTGCCTAAACATGGAGATAGACTTTGCATGATAAACATTTCCCTATAAATGATAGACATAGACTCCTTATAAATGTTATGGAGGAGACAGTGTGAGAAAATACTTTCCTTGGGGGGAGGGAATCACTTCCACACCATGCAGAAGGTTGAAGAAGAAGGTGAAGAGAAAATAAGCTTCCTTCAGGCAGAAATATTAATGGGAATTAGATGTGTACAAACACTTGCTTTGGTGACCCTGGATTCTCTCTGTTGCTGCTAGTTGTGTGAGATTTCCCACAGGCAGTAACATTTAATTAAAAGTAACCTATTTACCTAGAAGGGGAGGGGGGGAAATGATGTGTGGGTCTTAGCAGTTCTTGTAGTGTGCTGCTGTTGTTCTGCTTTGGCTTTTAGCTGTAATTAAGGTGCCCCCATAGAAATCTTAGCCAAATGTTAGATCTGCTCAGGTTATCAACTCTCTCTTCTGCTTCTGTTCCCCCCTTTTGCAAAGGCTGTTCCCTTTCCTCTGCCATCCATGGCCCAGATGTCTTTATTGCAAAGTCACCACTAACCGTGGCTAGCTTGAATCTGGAGCTGTTATACATGCATTTGTATGTTATTTTTAAGGTGGATTTGGAGAAATGAGTGGAAATGTAACATATGGCCTGTCCACTGCTCAACCAGCATAGGCAAAGGCAGTTCTGCTCAGGCAGCATGTGACACTTTGGTCTTTCCTGCTCCCCAGATGTGAGTTGTTTCTGCCATAAGGTGCTACATGAGGGAAATGAAACCATTGGTTTCATTTCTTTGCACTGCATTCTGCTAGGCTTATTTTAAGAGTGTTGGAGCACACTGAGACAGGAGTGGAATCAAAAGAATTGGCAAATTCAAAAATTTTAGGGTCTCGTGCTCAGAGTCGTGTGTTCTGCTGAATGAGTTACAAGAATACCCTCTGAAGCTGGCAAAGGCTGCCACACTAATCTGGCTCTTCCCAGCTCTGCAAGGAAATCTGAAGTTTTGATAGGCAGTGCTGAGAGAATGAATGCAAAAGGGAGGTGTATGTATCATCTCTGGTGTTTCTTGTCCTAGTACTTAATATAATATATACCTCTGGCAAGTTATTATCCTATCACGCCAATTGTCATGCAACTGTGCCCCCTTTAATTTTTGCATTTTAAATCTGATAAGAACTGCAGTTTTCATTAATTCTGCTTTCTTGTGCCTCTTCATGCCACATTCTCTCCATGCCACAGTCACATACACCAGGATTCCAAGGGCACAGAAATTATATCTGATGTCTTTCAATATTTGGGTTTCATGCTCCTTAAATCCAGATTTCACGATTTACATCTGTCTGAAAATAATTGCATAACTTTTTGTTGCACAAGGAAAACCATTCCCTTTTACAATTCTGATCTGACACATTTTGTGTGTATGGTGAACAAAAAGAATTTTCTTTGTGTTGCTACTGCCCTGGCAATGGGCACTGACTACATTCTGTCTAATCCTAGTGGAGATAGAGGGAGAAGACTGCCTGGTTTACACTGTCTTTTCTATCTGACATCGTCTTTATTACAGTCAGATGATCTTAAAAACTCCTACATCTTGCTCGAGGTTTTTGTTCAGTTCAGCGGAAGAAAAGCCTGAAGGCAGGATGAATGTTTAAGGTCACGTGGAGAATCCAGGGGTATTACCAGTGTGTGGCAGCAAATTTGCTAGGTTGTAATGCTTGTAGACAGTGCCAATGTTTGCATAAAGACCTCAAATTACAGTCTGAGGGCAGGAAAACAGAATGGGAGTTCTTGGCTCAGGATAAGCAAAGCACTTACAGAAAGCTTGAGAAGTGTGCACAGAGATATGATAAATTGTGTCCTGTTCAAAAACCTCAGCGAGATGAAAAGTTGCTAGAGAGAATGGAAAGAACATCATGCCCACTGGGATTACAGCTCAGTGGGGAAAGGGACATTCTTCTGCATTGCAAAAGGAGGGGATGGAAACTCATAGAAGAGACAAGCTTGCGTTAGATATGTCTGGCTTTCAGATCCCTGAGCAGGACTCTGAATGGCATTAAAGTTGTGCTGCTGGGGACCAGAACTCGGCTCTTATCACAGAGTATACCTTGAGTTCTAGCTGATTTACTAGGTGGGATCCCAGATGACAGTGTCCCTGTCTTGAAGGAACTCAAATCCTATTGCATCTGTCTGTAGTATTTTTCCCCTATTTTAAGAGACATTTTCCAGTTTGTAGAGATAGAGACAAATACCCTCAGTGAGGTGTGGGATCCACCTCAGATTGCCAGACACACATGCAAGAGTCCTGGCAAGCAGGATAGTCTGTAGAGCAAGCTTACAAGTATTGCAGGACCCATATCTCACCTTCCCCTGGGGCTAGCGTGGAACAGCTCCCAGGAAGCCTCAGCGCAGCCAACATGGGGAAACCAGGACAGTGAAGAAGGCAGCATAATGAGCTGTGCACATGGGTAAGTAGAGCCTCTCCTTAATGCCTGAAACCTACAGATCTTTGGTATCTGAACCTCATTTGGCTTGGGTAAAGGTAATGCTAATGACATCACATTGTGTGGTGACATGGACACATTTTACAGAGGGACCTGCACAGGCTGGAAGGTGGGCCAGCAATAACAGCAGCAGGATAACAAAGGCAAGTGGCAGCTCCTGCACTGGATGACACAACCAAAGAGCCCAGCACAGGACCTGTGTGCCTGGAGAGCCTTGCTGAGAGGGACCTGGGAGCTCTGGTGCACAACAAGGGGACCTTCAGTCAGCAGAGCAGAGCTGCAGCAATGAGGAAAATCAGATCCTGGGCTGCACCCACGGGGGCACAGCTGGCTGAGATAGAGACAGGATCTTCCCACTCAGCATTTGTCAGGCTGCCCCTGGAGTATCCAGTTCTGGCCCCAAAATATTCAAACAAGATGTGGACAGACTGGAGACAGTCTAATGGAGGGCCAAGAAGATGATCAAAGGGCTGGAAAAGCTGCCTTGTGAGGAAAGTTTGAAGGAGTTAGGACTCTTCTCCCTGAAGAAAAGAAGACAGGGAGACATGGACAGCTCATCATAGTATTCCAGTGCCTACAGCTGCAAAGAAGACAGAGACTGACTCTTCACAAGCAGCCACATGGAGAAGACAAGTGGCAATGAGCACAAGTTGCATTGGAATAGAATCACAGCATCACATAAGTTGGAAAAGGCCTCTAAGATCATTAAGTCAAACCATTAAACCAGCACCATCATGTTCACTGCTAAACCATGTCCCCAGTGCTCCCAGGGATAAGAGGGAAGGGAAGGAAATTTTTTACAGTGAGAACAATCAGTGACTGGAACAACCTCACCAGAGACATGGTGGAGTCCCTTTTGCTGTATGTTTTCAAGGTGGGATTGGACAAGGTCCTACATAATCTCATCTAGGCTTCCTCTCCCATGACACGCTGGACCAGATTATATTTTGAGGTCCCTTCCAATTTATGCTTCTCTCTGACTACAATTCTACAATAGCAGTGGCTGCTGGTTGATGTAGGAGTGGCTCACTTTGCTCACAGCAGAGGAGAAGATGAATACCCAGAGGGTGGTTTAGCACAAGCATGCGAATGTTGCCCACTACATTTGTCACTTCCTGTCCCTGCTGCTGCTCTGGAAGATCTGGGGCCCAGGAGATGCACCAAGAGGCTCTTTAAGCAGTCACTGTGAGCCAAACCACTCTTGTCCCCTCCCCACGTCTCTCTTAACTCTGATCTTTTGTTCTTCCCACAGGAGAAAACATAAACCCTGTTCATCTTTATTCACACGTCAACAGTTGAAGAGATGCAGAAAAGCTGGAGTACCTCACCCATGGAGGAGTGTGGGCTGGTCTGAGGGGAACAAGTAGGTTTGAAAGAATAATAAACCTGTATATCAAGAGTATAAGGGAAACTGCTGGAAGGACAGGCTAAATGAAACAAGAGGGGAGACATCTTCCCCAAGAAGCCTACTATACTATTGAATGCTCTTGTTTGCTATTGAATGCAAACACTTACCAATTTTTGATCATGCAAAATGGATAGAAATTAGTTTCAGGAGCATTCAGCTTCTTTAATTTAGAAACAAATACATTCTCAGTGTGTTTTTGAGTGCTGCTGTATCTTTAAGTTGAGTTGGGGGGCAGACATACTTCCATAAAAATACAATTAAAACTGTATGTTGGTAAATATAGCTTCTTGAGCTCTAAAAGTTTTCCACCCAAGTTTGTTTTCCACCTAGTTCAAGCTCCTTGAAACATCATACAGACCAAGCCTGGTTCACCATTTTCCATACTTTTCTTCATCATCTATGCCTATACAAAGTTGGTTTAGGACCCCATCAATCTGGTTGGATAGCATTTTACATCTCATACCCACAGCTGTAAACAGCAGCATGAAATCTGAGGCAGGAAAGAATCAGACTCCACATTCATAAGGAAGACTTGACTATATAATATTTCTACCCTATGCTTTTTTATAATTCTTCCTGGGGTGGAAATCATTCTGTGTTCATTTTAAGGAGTTGTTAGCTGTTATGACTGAACTACGTGTGCTGCAACATATTGAATCCAAGCATTTGAAGTAAAGAGGCAATAAATCGACGTGAACTCTTACAGAAGAGAATACACTTTCTAGAAATGAAAAGAATAAATAATAAATGAAGAAAGACAGAAAAGACTGAAGGTGTTTCCCAGAAGGAGTGAAGGCAATAGTCCACAAAAAGACATTGAAATGTTAGTCACATTTGTTGTAGAGCATAAAAAAGAGGGAGGAGGAGGCATGTTGTGCATATATACCCTTGTTGAGCTTGAATTTGCAGCAAACCAGGAAACTCACTAAGAATAGGAAAAATGCATTTCTTTGTTTATAATTTGTAACATCATCATGTTCTCAGAGAAGTATCATCTTTCTTCTTACGAACTTTTTTTAAAATATGTTGCCCATATTAATCTATTTTGGTGCCTATTTTTATTTATAATCTACAAATAGAGTACTCAAGTTGGAGCACATTACTTAGGCAGTACAGTAACATGCACAGAAATTTCAATAACAGCATCTTAATTATGATAAAAGCAATACAGCTAGTAAGGCTCACTTTAAAAATATTCTGAAAAACCTGTTTAGTCTGATTTTATGAAAATCTTTAGAAGTATCAGAGGAAAAATTTTGTTTTAATTTTGAAGTCTCATTGCAGCCACAGTTGGTCACGGTTGTAAAGACAGCACCTTAGAAATGTTCTCATCACTTCTTAAGGCAGCATAAAGTGTCTTTGGGCAGAAGCTGAGACTCTGCAAACACATGTGCATTCAAAACAGAAAAAGTGCATTCTCGTTCTACCAGCTATCAGCTGTTGTGCCACACAAACAGAGCCAAGCAACTTTGATAAGGAAGAGCAACATTTTCATACATTTATATAATGTGCAATATATTTTAGTTCTTACCTCCAAAGATACAGCAACTGACGAGGTACAGAAAAAATGATGTCTTCTAACTAGTTTGAAGCTTCCTGTGGGTCTGTCCTACCCCAAAATGCAATGTTCTGTTTTTATTTCCTTTTTAATCACACTTCTAAGATAACATCTGTTTTACTTCTAATCCTCTATAGCAAAGAAGTATAGAAAGAAAGTCCCTTAGGAGATGAAGGGGTTTTATAACTGACTGAACTGCAACACGGTGAACTTGCTTCCTCTTTTATGTCCAAATGAAACTTCATTGTGAAACTGTGTACTGTTAAAATAGCTGATTGCAACACTCTCAGTCCAGGCAGATGGACTGTTGTAAGACAAAAAAGCCCTGGTGAGTCAAACACTCAGAACAACCTTAGAGAAACTGTTCATGTGTTGGCAGCTTCCAGTGCACCCCATTTCAGCCACCACTCTCCTTTTAGCTGATATGGTGAGACATCTTGACAGGTCAAGATTGTCAGGACAAATAGGCTGGAAGAGTGAGGTGCCAAAGCAGAAATGCATTACACAGCAGGCCTGCTTTGTTGTCTGCAGACCCTTCCTTGTACATATAATTTTGCACCAAGCACCACAGCACAGCTGCTTTCTCAGGTTTTGCTTTGGCAAACTTGACACTTGTCAGGACAAAAGTTAGATCTGAAAGTTAGGCCTTGTCTGTTTTAGCACTCAGTACCATACCCAGGAAGCTTGTCTTGGGAGGGGCAGTGGATGAAAATACTTGGGGCAAGCAGGAATTCATCCAGCAAGTGTGAGGTGTGAGAACGGTGAATATGGCTTTGAGATTGATGTTGGAGTATTCCTTATGTGCAGAAGACAAATACTGTTTGAAACACATAACTGGACTGTTTGAATAATCCCAACAGGATATACCGAATTTGCTTTTAAAGGCATCATTATATATCCATACATTGCAATAATAAGAGAAATATATTAGAAATATATTTTAATTCTCAGTGAATTTTAACTTCCTCATTCAGTACCATGTGGTCTTTGCAGAAGCCTCTAACTCTGCCAGCCAGAAACAATACTTCTGTTAATGTCATTTTCCTAAATATTCACTATCATGCAACATATGATTGGGGCTAATATCGAAGAATTCTTCCAAAGTCTTCTTAGACATAGGCATGAAAAAAGTACAAGTGTCATTCTGTCCCTACCTACACATTTGTAGCTAATTTATGCAGCAATTTCACAAGTGATATTGTACCCAGTCATATGCCATGCTAGGATCAACAGCATCTAAACAGCACAAAAACTGGACAACACTGTCAGTTTAATGCAAGTCTCATCAGATGTCTTTGCCGTAAAAGTTCTCCCTGTGTGTCCTAGATTGCCAGGCAATATGTATTCTACTTGCCATCTGTTAGAAGTGACAGTTATCTTCTGTTAATTGGGAAGTTTTCTTTACCTCTTCCACAAACCAGTCCTCCCTCTGGGGAGACATCGGCTGTTAATGGGCCATTGAGCCTCATGGATGACTGAAAAAATTCCATCATCCCATTGGGAGATGCTCTGCCCAGAGGGAGGAACCAAGCATTCCTGCCCGGATAGAATCTGAGAGTTTGGGAACAGCCTTTCCACTGGATTCCCAGAGGAACAGCTGCCTTTTCCACTGGATCTTCAGAGGAAGACTACACCCTTCTACAGGATCACTGCTCTAACAGAACCACACCTGACACTCCAGGACTGCAGCCACCATTTAATGGGACTGCTGCCAACACCCTGACCCAAAGGGTGTCAGGTTTTATTCTGTCAGTTTGTTTTGTATTACTGCATTGTTTATTTATTTTTTATTTAATTTTCTTCCCTAATAAAGAACTGTTATTCGTGCTCCCATATCTTTGCTTGAGAGCCCCCCTTAATTTTAAATTTATAACAATTTGGAGGGAGGGGATTTACATTTTCAGTTCAGGAGAGGCTCCTGCCTTCCTTAGCAGACACCTGTCTTTTCAAACCAAGACACTGTGGAAACAAAGCTATTGTTGTAACAGACCAACTTTTTAAGCTTAACATTAACATTAATATTAACATTATTGTAATTTTTTCTCTGATCTCTCATTTGTACTATGGACCAGTCTCAGGCCTTGTCACATTTATACTGGCCCAACACTTTTTTTCCATGTTTCCTTACCTGGATGAAATGCATCGAGGAAAGCAAGAAATAAATCTCTGTGAGGTTTTACCTCTTCTGTAGATCCAGAGAGCTCTATATTCACCAAAGCTCAATATTTCTAGTTAGACTGTTGGGAAAAAAACTTTGATAGTATAAAAAAGCATTTCTGTAAAGGACCTCAGAGAGTTTTCAAAATATTTTTTTAATAATATAAATCCATGCAAAACCAGGAAGATATAAATGGACAGATATTCTAAAGTGCTTCTACTGCCAGAATAGCACAGCTATCCATAAGCACTGTAAAATCAATCTACTATTATGGATTTATCTAAGCATGGATTTAAGACTTATCTTCAGACACCTAGATTTGCATTAAATAAGTGACCTTTTTTTGTCATGCATGTGGAATGTTTTCAGTTCTCTATTGTCTCAAATATTGTCTGCATTTCTGCACAATGGCTTTGTGTATCTATGGAAGGGAGATATAAAACTGTAATTTCTTGTCACTGAAATTGCACATTAACATCCTGACAGTCTAGGCTCTCAGGACACCCACTTATTCTAATGACTTTTTCCACATTCACTCCTGACCTTTGAAGAGCTGTCCTCAGCTAACAAGCACTGTCCTATACGAATTTTTGCCATGTGGCTTATAAACTGCTCTGAGTGCAGCACTCTGAGGGCCAGATCCAGATCTGAATGAGTTTGGTACAACATACCAGCAGCTGACCCCTTTTGCAAAGATCCCCACATGGGCTGTGCCTCCCATGCCCAGTGAAACAGATGTGAGAGAGAAGAAAGCTTCAGCACCTTAGGGAATCTTTCAGTCAGTCTCTTCATCTGTAAATGTAGCTCAGATTGTAAGGCCATGCCAAATTATTTTTGTCAGTGTAATTCACTACAGCAAATCCAATATATCAAGACTGTGTACCCCTATCCACTCCCCCCTCTGCCCTTCCCCCCAAAAAAAAACCAAAAAAAAACCATTTAAAGTAAATTATCATGTTTCCTTCTCTACCACATTATTCTCCTCATAAGGAATTTCCTTGCAGAAATTGCTTTAATTTTGATCCTAAGTAGTTCTGATCCTTAGCTTTTTATTTCAGTTCAAGAGTTTATCTTCAAGACAAATGTGCCAGTTGTTTGCCCTCACTCTGCTTTGGTTGGCCTCTGCTTAGGTTGGGCCTGGTCAGAGAGTGCAAAGGCAGCCGCCTGTCATCTGCAGGTGAAATGTTTATATTCTAGACATAATAAATTTGGATCTTTTGATAAGACAATATTCCACAGCTTTTTGTTAAATTTAATAGTAGGAATAAGTGCATAAAATAAATCAATTTGCTTGTACATATACTCAAGCAGGTATGTACACAGTAAGCTCTCTCTGGTTATCAAACTACTTTAGCTCTATTCTTATTTGCTATGTCTGTACCTTTACCCACAAATTTTGAAATTCAAAAGTTAAAGATACCACCTTAAGATTATGACCTAGTTTATAATTAGATTCTATTTGTGCAATAGGACAAAGGGGATATTTTCAAACCTTTTGATCTTTGGAAGGAAAGATTTTATGGGAGGGAGATAAGAATGTTATCCACTACTCTATCATAAAAACAATAATGAATGGTTTATATTCCTTACAGCAGCAAAATCAGATCTATTTCAAGCTTTCCAGTGTATATGGAAGTTTAACTTGATTTGAACTGAAAACCCAGTTTTCAATGCATTCATTGTATAATCAATTATTTGAGTAAATCAGCAGTCTCTAAACAGGGAAGAACCTTCATCATACACAGTTAGTTTTCTCTTCCTTCATTGCTGGTAGTAGAAAATAGATCAGTAGAATTTTCTAGATAAAATGTGAGGATTCCCATCTTACAAATGAGTGCCAAGTTTGGCTTTGAGATATCTCAGGCCAAAGGGAGTCTTCTGGATTAATTACTCCAACCCTTTACTTGCTGTGTGGAAAGAAAAGTGGTTGCGACATGGTTCTCATGGCCATGTATTTCCAAGGAGAAAAAAAAAGACCATGGATACAGAGAGAGCCCTCCCATTTTAGAAAAGATGAAGAAGTTTTGGTGCCCACCCACATTTTCTGTTTCCAGCTCTCCACGGCCAGTGATTGCCTATGCAGCAATGAGAAGTCTGGCTGTCCTTGGGGCCCAGAGCCTTAACTCAGGAACTCAAGGAGCACTGCACCTTCCATGTCGTTATATCCATCAAGGTCTGCACCCAGAGTATGATACTTCAAAATGAAGCAATTGTTTCATCACACAAAAGTGACCACTAAATCTTTTCATTAATTACAGAGGCATTTGTAATTCAAGTACAAATAGGGTAATAACAGGGAACATTTGCTGCTTTTCTTACTCCTTCTAGTCCATTAAATATACAATTTATTCCTGTGTTAAATTCCTTTTCTCTTCTTTGGATCACATAAATATTTAGTTATATGCAGACATTGCCACAGGTTCGATCTATGCATAAACCAAGGAAACAAAAGCAAGGCCTTTGATATGACAAAATTATAAGCAAGAACATTGCACCCTCTGATAAAATCTCCAAGGCCAAGGGGAGTTTCCTTTGGGAAGAGATAACAGTATTGAAGAGATTTGGGAAGAGATAACAGTATACTGAAGCTGATCTACATTACCAGTTCCCAGCACTGGTCTTTTGTAGTAATAAGTAGCCAATAAGTGAAGTCTTTTCAGGTCATGTTCTTTTCTTCTCTCACTTATTTACACTAACTAGGAAACTGATCTTGACACGGTTCAGAAATCTTTCCCTTCAGTCTCAACATCTCTTCATTCATAGCCCCTTATTCATCTTTAGTAGTCAAACTGTTCTGCCCATATCCCTTTGTTTTAATGGTCACAAATGGTCACTGATGTATCCTGAACAAAGTACATTATTGTACAAGTGATCCCACTGATGGCAGAGACCATCCTGAGGTTTCCATGCATAACCACACATGGGCACATAAGCCTTTAAGCCCTGCAGAGCATGAATCATCCTGTAAAGCATCAGAAGGCAGCAAGCTGGGCGAGCTGCTCTC